AGAAGCACACCAGCCTGTCTGACCACGAGGTGTAGAAGGGACCAGTTATCAGACATAAAAAATGCTATATATCTATATCTATATCTATCTATCTATATATATATAGCATAGGTTCAATCATGTGGAGAATTGTGCAATTGCTACCACCATCTCTTTCCAAACATTCCTTTTCCTAGGGACTCCTTGACATTGTCCCTCCCTCCCTCCCTCCCAAACCCTTATTCTACTTGCTGCCTCTATAGGTTCTTTAATCCTGGGTTTCGCATATCATAAAACGGAAAACGGATTTTCTCCTCTTTGAAACCTGTCTCAAAGACAGAGGACCGCGGAAGCAGGAAGGACAACGCAGGGGGCGCGGGAGCAGCGTGGGAAAACGAAACGTCTGACACGGCCGACAGCCGGGCAGTGTCCCCGGCGTCAGGCGATTACGCTTTACAAGAAGCGGTGTGGCGTCACGTGAACACAAATCAGTGGTAACCACGCTTGCATACCGTAAACCAACTCACAGCTGCCTGCCGGTTCCGACCCACAGCAGCCCTGTCTGAACGTTTCTGAGACCGGCCGTCTATAGCAGAGCCTCACTTTCCTCCAGAGGAGCTGCGGGTGGGTTTCAGCACACACACACCCTTGCAGGCTAGCAGCCCAGGGGTGCACCCTCATCACCGCTAGGATGCCTGCAGGCCAACCGAGACAAAGAGGACCAGCTAAGAAGCTAATCCAGGAATCACATTGGAATGGTTTTCTGAAAAAAAAAAAAAAAATCAGGGCAAAGGTGGCGGGGGTGGGGTGTGTGTGTGTGTGGGGGGGCATTTACCACCAGGGTGGGTCTCAAAGCCATCATGCAAGCAGACACACACGCATGTGTACTGAATGGATCCATTTAGATGGCATTGTAAACTGCAGACTAAATCTCCAATGGCAGACCTAGTGACTACGTCATTGCCTGGGGCTCGGGGTGGGAGTGGGGGGATGACAGAGAGGCAAAAAGAAAGTCCGTGGGGCGCGGGAGCCAGCGGCTGGACACATTCACTTTCTCATTGGAGAGGACGTTTGCCCACGTCCCAGGTCCTCACATTTTACACCTTAAATAAACACGACCAAAGAGGCTTTGGAGTGGGGCAGACTAGAGTTCAAATCCTGCCTCTACCGCTTTTACGTTTAGTGTGTTTGGAGCGATGGTCTGAATGGTGTTGGTTTGGGATGTCCCTGGGAGAAGGGTGCCTAAGATTATTTTCTCCCTGATGGATGAAAAGAGTCGGTGAAGTCAGCCACCTCTTCCCGGCGGTTAGAGACACAAAACTCCAGCAGCCCTGGCATCCAGCTATGGGGACGGAAGCTACCTTTCATCTGACAGCCATCAGTGTTCCGCCCCAGTGTTCTTACCTTGATTAATATGTTTTCTGGTTTCACGTCCCTGTGAAATATCCCGTTTCTGCAGGCCATAGAAAAGGGAGAACACGGAGTCAGATTCTCCACGTTGCATTTTCACCCCGACTCACTGTCATCGAGCCGACCCTCTGGGGCAGGGTAGAACTGCCCCTGTGGGTTTCTGAGACGGTAATGCTTTACAGGAGTAGAAAGCCTCATCTGTCTCCCTCGCAGCGGATGGTGGTTTTGAACTGCTGACCTTGCGGGCAGCGCCCCACTGTGTAACCCATTCTGCCACCAGGACTCCTTCAGAGGAATGCTAATACATTTTAATGAACAAATCTGTGAGCACCCGACTCCATGGCTGTACCTGTGCATGTGATCAAGGGATTTACATAACTGGTACATATAATGCACAATTTTTTTTTCTGATAATGGGTGTCTTCTCCCTGTGCAATCAAGAAAACAGGTAAATATGGTTACAAACGTGACACGGTCCCTTATGTAATAAATCAAAATATATACATTTCTATTCATTAGAATGTGTGAAAATAAAGCTTCCTCCAGGAGAAATAATCTAAACTCATTTTGGCAAATATGGAGTAGGATTTATAAAGTCCACCACCTCAAACTCCACATAGACTTTTACTTTTTAGGAGGAGACATAGTGGTTACACATTGGGCTGCCAACTGGGAGGTCAGCAGTTCAAAACCACCAGCTGCTCTTCGGGAGGAAGACGAGGCTTTCTACTCCCATAAAGAGCTATCGTCTCAGAAACCCACAGGGGCAGTTCTACCCTGCCCTATAGGGGCTCCACGAGTCAGAATTGACTTCATGGCAGTGAGGGTTTTTGTTTTGTTTTGCTTTGTTTTTAAATTCTTGAACTCTTTAGAAGTTTTAGGGTTTTTTTTTGGGTGGGGGGGGGTGGCTACAGAAAGCACCAAGGGGCTGTGTTCATTTTCCTTCCGTTTTCTTTCTGCTCTTGGATTTCGTAGTCTCTTTCCATCTGTCTCCGAGGTGCTTTAATTGTTTTCGTTGTCAGCTCACATCCGCGGTTGAGCCTCTAGTGAACTTTCCATTTCAGTGATTGCAGTTTTTAACTCTTGGATTCCCACTGGGCTCTGTTTTATGACGTGTCTCTTTGTGGGTCTTCCCTGTGTGAGTCACACTGCCATCCCAGCTTCGTTTCTTTTATTCAAGCTTCTCAGAGCCTCTGAACACACTGATAATGGCTGCGTGGAAGTCTTTGTTAAATCTGACATCCAGCTGCTCAGGAAGCCCTTTCTGTTGCCTGCTTTTCCCCATTGTTTCTTTACATTCCTTGTCATTTGGGTGGGCGAGGGGGGCTTGGAAATGAGACATTTTAGGTAACAGGTTATAGAGACACCCACTCTGAGGACTGGTCCCAACCTCCATAGCTCGCTTTGTGCTTGTTTGGTGAATTGCTAGGGTACTTGAGCGAAGTCTATTTCCCACCCCCCAACCCCGCCATACTGTGAAGCTACTGGCCCAGCTCTGCTGGGGACACAGCCTGTTGGCACCCAGCCCCCTGGGGTGACAGTGACCTGGGCAGGGAGCTCCTTGTCTCTTTCCCCATCACACCCTGCTGTTACGTTCCACTCATTGCTATTGGGCTCTTTTTTTTTTCTTTTTTAACATTTTATTAGGGGCTCATACAACTGTTATCCCAATCCATACACACATCAATTGTGTAAAGCGCATTTGTACATCGTTTCTCA